TATGATTTCCAATAAGTTGGTTGCTCGCTCCATAGTTTCGGAGAAGGGAGTCTTGGTCATTTTGCCCATGAGGCATGGTTCGCATGTGTCAAATGATTCATAATCGAGAGACTCTAAAAGCCCATCAGCATGGAGCTTCTTCATGCGGTTGACACTAATGTGACCAAGGCGGCAGTGCCACAAGTATGTGGGACTATCGTTATCAACTTTACATCTTTTGGTATTCACACTATGAATATGTGTAACATTACGTTCGAGATTCATTAAGAATAAACCATTGACCATCGGGGCATGACCATAAAACATATCTCTCATATAAATAGAACAACCATTATTCTCGGATTTAAATGAGTAGCCATCTCGCATTAAACGAGATCCAGATACAATGTTTATGCTCAAATTTGGCACTAAATAACAATTATTGAGGTTCATAACTAATCCCATGGGTAAATGTAGAGGTAGAGTGCCGACGGCGATCACATCGACCTTGAAACCATTCCCGACGTGCATCGTCACCTCGTCCTTCGCCAGTCTCTGCTTATTCCGCAGCTCCTGCTGTGAGTTACAAATATGAGCAACGGCACCGTATCAAATACCCTGGAGTTACTACGAGTACTGGTAAGGTACACATCAATTATATGTATATCACATATACCTTTAGTGTTGCCGGCTTTCTTGTCCGCTAAGTATTTGGGGCAGTTCCGCTTCCAGTGACCCTTTCCTTTGCAATAAAAGCACTCAGTCTCAGTCTTGGGTCCATTCTTTGACTTCTTCCCGGCAACTGGCTTACCGGGCGCGGCAACATCTTTGCCGTCCTTCTTAAAGTTCTTATTTACCCTTGCCCTTCTTGAACTTAGTGGTCTTATTGACCATCAACACTTGATGTTCTTTCTTGATTTCAACCTCTGCCGACTTCAGCATTGAAAATACTTCAGGAATGGTCTTCACCATCCCCTGCATGTTGTACTTCATCACAAAGCTCTTGTAGCTTGGTGGGAGCGACTGAAGGATTCTGTCAATGACCGCCTCGTCCGGGAGGTTGATCTCCAGCTGGGACAGGCGGTTGTGCCACCCAGACATTTTGAGTATGTGCTCACTGACATAACTGTTTTCCTCCATCTTACAACTATAGAACTTGTCGGAGACTTCATATCTCTCGACCCGGGCATGAGCTTAAAAAACCATTTTCAGCTCCTCGAACATCTCATATGCTCCGTGTTGCTCAAAACGCTTTTGGAGCCCCGGTTCTAAGCTGTAAAGCATGCCACATTGAACGAGGGAGTAATCATCAACACGTGACTGCCAAGCGTTCATAACGTCTTGGTTCTTTGGGATGGATGCTTCACCTAGCGGTCCTTCTAGGACATATGCTTTCTTGGCTGCTATGAGGATAATCCTCAGGTTCCGAACCCAGTCCGAATAGTTGTTGCCATCATCTTTCAGCTTGGTTTTCTCTAGGAACGCATTGAAGTTCATGTTGACATGAGCGTTGGCCATTTGATCTACAAGACATATTTTGCAAAGATTTTAGACTAAGTTCATGATAATTAACTTCATTTAATCAAATTATTTAATGAACTCCCATTCAGATTTGACATCCCTCTAGTCATCTAAGTGTTACACGATCCGAGTCGACTAGGCCGTGTCCGATCATCACGTGAGACGGACTAGTCATCATTGGTGAACATCTCCATGTTGATCGTATCTTCCATACGACTCATGTTCGACCTTTTGGTATCTTGTGTTCCGAGGCCATGTCAGTACATGCTAGGCTCGTCAAGTTAACCCTAAGTGTTTATGCATGTGTAAAACTGTCTTACACCCGTTGTATGTGAACGTAAGGATCTATCACACCCGATCATCACGTGGTGCTTCGAAACGACGAACTTTGGCAATGGTGCACAGTTAGGGGGAACACTTTCTTGAAATTATTATAAGGGATCATCTTATTTACTACCGCCGTTCTAAGTAAACAAGATGCATAAAACATAATAAACATCACATGCAATTATATAAAGTAGTGACATGATATGGCCAATATCATATAGCTCCTTCGATCTCCATCTTCGGGGCTCCATGATCATCTTCGTCACCGGCATGACACCATGATCTCCATCATCGTGCCTCCATGAAGTTGCTCGCCAACTATTACTTCTACTACTATAGCTAACGGTTTAGCAATAAAGTAAAGTAATTACATGGCATTAAATCATCGACACGCAGGTCATACAATAATTAAGACAACTCCTATGGCTCATGTCGGTTGTCATACTCATCGACATGCAAGTCGTGATTCCTATTACAAGAACATGATCTCATACATCACAATATATCATTCATCATTCATCACAACTTCTGGCCATATCACATCACATGACAATTGCTGTAAAAACAAGTTAGACGTCCTCTAATTGTTGTTGCATCTTTTACGTGGCTGCAATTGGGTTCTAGCAAGAACGTTTTCTTACCTACGAATAACCACAACGTGATTTTGTCAACTTCTATTTACCCTTCATAAGGATCCTTTTCATCGAATCCGCTCCAACTAAAGTAGGAGAGACAGACACCCGCTAGCCACCTTATGCAACTAGTGCATGTCAGTCAGTGGAACCTGTCTCACGTAAGCGTACGTGTAAGGTCGGTCCGGGCCGCTTCATCCCACAATACCGCTGAAGCAAGAAAATACTAGTAGTGGCAAGCAAGTTGACAAGATCTACGCCCACAACAGATTTGTGTTCTACTCGTGCAATAGAGAACTATGCATAGACCTAGCTCATGATGCCACTGTTGGGGAACGTTGCAGAAAATAAAATTTTTCCTACGGTTTCACCAAGATCCATCTATGAGTTCATCTAAGCAACGAGTGATAGGAGAGAGATGCATCTACATACCACTTGTAGATCGCGTGCGGAAGCGTTCAAGAGAACGGGGTTGAGGTAGTCGTTCTCGTCGTGATCCTATCACCGGAGATCCTAGCGCCGAACGGACGGCACCTCCGCGTTCAACACACGTACAGTCAGCGTGACGTCTCCTCCGTCTTGATCTAGCACGGGGGAAGGAGAGGTTGATGAAGATCCAGCAGCACAACGGCGTGGTGGTGAATGCAGCAGAACTCCGGCAGGGCTTCGCCAAGCTATTGCGGGAGGAGGAAGAGGTGTAGTAGGGGGAGGGAGGCACCAAGATACAGGGTGCGGCTGCCCTCCCTCCCCCTCCTTTATATAGGCCCCCAGGGGGGGCGCCGGCCCTGGGAGATCCAATCTCCCAAGGGGGGCGGCAGCCAGGGGGGTGGAGTGCCCCCCAAGGCAAGTGGGCCGCGCCCCCCACCTAGGGTTTCCAACCCTAGGCGCAGGGGGCCCCAGGGGGGCACACCAGCCCACTAGGGGCTGGTTCCCCTCCCACTTCAGCCCACGGGGTCCTCCGGGATAGGTGGCCCCACCCAGTGGACCCCCGGGACCCTTCCGGTGGTCCCGGTACAATACTGGGTGACCCCGAAACTTTCCCGACGGCCGAAACAACACTTCCTATATATAATTCTTTACCTCCGGACCATTCCGGAACTCCTCGTGACGTCCGGGATCTCATCCGGGACTCCGAACAACATTCAGTTTGCTGCATACTCATATTCATACAACCCTAGCGTCACCGAACATTAAGTGTGTAGACCCTACGGGTTCGAGAGACATGCAGACATGACCGAGACGGCTCTCTGATCAATAACCAACAGCGGGATCTGGATACCCATGTTGGTTCCCACATACTCCTCGATGATCTCATCGGATGAACCACGATGTCGAGGATTCAAGCAACCCCGTATACTATTTCCTTTGTCAGACGGTATGTTACTTGCCCGAGATTCGATCGTCGGTATCCCAATACCTCGTTCAATCTCGTTGCCGGCAAGTCACTTTACTCGTACCGTAATGCATGATCACGTGACCAGACACTCTGTCACTTTTGAGCTCATTATGATGATGCACTACCGAGTGGGCCCAGTGATACCTCTCCGTTATACGGAGTGACAAATCCCAGTCTCGATCCGTGTCAACCCAAGAGACACTTTCAGAGATACCTGTAGTGCACCTTTATAGTCACCCAGTTACGTTGTGACGTTTGGTACACCCAAAGCACTCCTACGGTATCCGGGAGTTACACGATCTCATGGTCTAAGGAAGAGATACTTGACATTGGAAAAGCTCTAGCAAAACGAACTACACGATCTTGTGCTATGCTTAGGATTGGGTCTTGTCCATCACATCATTCTCCTAATGATGTGATCCCGTTATCAACGACATCCAATGTCCATAGTCAGGAAACCATGACTATCTGTTGATCAACGAGCTAGTCAACTAGAGGCTCACTAGGGACATGTTGTGGTCTAAGTATTCACACGTGTATTACGATTTCCGGATAATACAATTATAGCATGAATAAAAGACAACTATCATGAACAAAGAAATATAATAATAATTCTTTTATTATTGCCTCTAGGGCATATTTCCAACACGTCCAAGTGCTCAAGATCGCTTTGTTTCCGACATGGATGGCAAAGAGTGTAAATTTTGTTATGATGGGCAGCAGCATGTGAAAGATAAAAGAATGGAGAAGCAAGACAGAACAAGGACGAAACTGACTTGCAATTTCATGGTGTGTCAATAACTCAATGGGATTATGGATGGCCACACCAAATTTCAACACAACAAGTGGCAAGTGCTAGATGATGCAATTTCAGCAAGGGCTTGTCTGAAGGGGTAGCTTTACATTTATTTATATCCCATGGTAATTAATATAATACTAGATACAAGGCACACTGTAAGGTTTTCACTCAAACGATATACACATACATATGTATGTTCCCTTGAGCAGAGAAGGGATTCATGGCGTGACAGGCATATAGCTAGCACTCCTGCCAGCTAACAAAGGGCTCCCTGCTTTTATTGCAACCACACACTAAAACAGTACTAGTAGTATAGTAGTACTAGCACGGAGACATGATGAACCGATCATGCAGCAAAGCCCGCATACATGCCAAAGGAGTCAATGTAAGTCGTCCCCGCAGCTCCAAAGAAGCCGATGATCCGGGCGGAAACTAGCGGGACGTTGAAAGAACCCCCAGAGCCGGCACTGCCGCCACGGATAGTCCGACCCTTGTTGGTAACCAATTCAAGAGATGTTGCATATGATTCAGGGGGTGAACCATACGTTCCTGAAATTTCCAACACATATTCTAATTCTTGAAGGAGCAACTGCATGCACACCCCGCAAAAAAAAACTGCATGCACAAAAAATTGATAGCTCATAATTAGGACTATGTACGTTGTAGAAGAGTGCTTGTGTATATATATATGACAACATGACGTGTTAGCAAAAAAAATCTATGGTTTATTAGCCGATTCACACACCTCCTCAAATTTCTCCCCCTCGGAGCCTCCCCATTCCTCCTCATGCAGATTCCCACTGGTATCCACGTAAGTAAACCCGATAGCGTTGATTGCGTCCCCGCTACGAATTGCCACACGAACTAGTGCGAGAGGAGTGTATTCGATGTCGCGAGGTTCGCCTCCATCGCCACCCCATGGCCCGATCTTCACGGGCTTGCTCTGTGATGCATGACCACAAATGAAATTATTAGAGTACGTACATGCCATCATCACAATCTTAAGAAGAGTGCATACCATCTTGAACCTAGCTAGCAAAGTTCAACTCAAATGAAGCACAAGATGTACTAGTTGCTTGCTATGTGGAATATGAGGGAGAGCTTTCTGGCCTCCTTCAATGCCCGAGCACCCCTATATATAGTCAAGCTCATTAATGAATGAATTAGTTAGCAAGCACAACATTTCACGTACTACTGTATTACATAGGCATGGACATGACATACTAGCTAGGTTCCCTGTTTATCGAAAATGACAAGGCAATCCAGGGACATTGTGCCTATCTCCTTAAAAAAATCTAAGCTAGGGCGCAAAATCCTGCAATTCATTACCAGGAAACAAAAATTGTCATGCATAGTTACATATTACAGGGAGGGCGCATGCGAGACGCAGCCACACATAGCATACAAAGGATGGAAGCCAAGCGAAAACTACACACATAGATACAAGAACGTGAAAGAAGAGGGGGTTAGCCAGAGCCAATCAACCGTCCCCCACAACAAGTGTGAAAATCCTTAGTCACTAGGCAAGAAGCTGCCACCATGAGGGATTGAGCGTCGCGGCCTAGATGGTGCAAGCCAGGGACAGCGGCGAAAGCACAAGACCTCAGAAACCTCAAGCCCAAACCAGACGAAGAGCTCCGCTAACAACCTCGCATCACCGAAAGCAAGAACTAGTTGGATGGAGGAATCAGTAGCTAGGGATAACACTCATCTGCGTCAGTTTCTCCAACGAAACTGCCTAGAATACTTTTCAATCGAGGCGGTTTAGTTTTTGAAACATTCTCAATTACTTCTTATAGTTTTGTGCGACAAAGTATAGGCCTTACAATTTTTCAATTTTTCAATTGATAGATACGTCCACCAAGTTTCACAATATAATTCTTGAGATGGATGCAACAAGGGTGGGGAGTCATTTAGTGCACGAGTTGTCCCGTCAGGCGTCAAAGAAGTACACACGTAGTTAGTGTGACTTTCCATACGGAACTGTCAATGTCATTCATTCATTCATACTCGATGGTGACGCGAGAGATCTATCTCTACGATGTGTGTCGGTCTGTGGCCTTGTAGTTAGTTGCATGATAGTAACTCATCAATCAACGTATTAGCCTAGTCTGCTATCCACTCAAATCCAAGGACTGAAAATATATAGAGCAGCTCACGTTTTCTTGCCTTCCCCTCCCTATTGGTGAAAGAGCTTAGAAAGCGGAAATCTGCGTCTGAGCCCAGGTTCAGTTGCACCCCATGAATGGTACATTAAAAAAAGTAAGAAAAACAAAAAGAATCGATTTTTTTTGCATGCAAGATGCTCAGATGTGCAAGATGCATGAGAACTTTCATGGTGTTTGGAGATTCTAGGAGCTTGTGAAAAAAACAAAACCTGTTATACAGGGACACTTTTTCAAAGTTCCTTTCAGAAGCCAAATTTGTTGTTTCTGCCACGAGCTCCCCACATGTCCAAATACCATGAAATTTTGCACGTACCTTGAGCACCCAAGCATCTTGGATGTCAAAAGTTCAAAGAACAATTGAATTGTTTTTTATTTACTGTTCATCGATGGGTGCAACTGAGCCTGGGCTCCGAATCACCATATCCCTTAAAATGGATCTACTCTACCTATAGCGACATTGGCAATGCAAGTGTACTAATACTTTGGTAGTACATGGATGCTGACAATACAAGTGCATTAATACTTTGGTAGCACAAGATGTCGACAACACAAGTGCACGAATGCTTCGGTAGTGTTGAAATTATGGGAAGCATCTCAACCTCCTAGAGGCCTGTGTGGTGTTTACAGATTGATCGGCCCTTATCCCGTGAGGCATACATTGTGTCGTGCAAGGCACGTACACAC